ACCCCTGACTCCTCACTCCTCACTCCCTACTCCTCACTCCTCATTTCTCACGCCTCACGCCATACGCTCATCACACATCACTCCACACTCCTCACTCCTCCTCCTCATCATCATCATCCTCTTCCTCCTCCTCTTCCTCCTTTTCCTCCGCCTCCTCCTCCTTCCCCTCCTCCTCCTCCTCCCCTTCCTCATCATCCTCATCCTCCTCCTCCTCCTCCTCCTCATCCTCCTCCTCTTCCTCTTCCTCTTCCTCCTCCTCCACCCCCAACTCCTCCTCTTCCCCCTCCTCCTCATCCTCCTCATCCTCGTCCTCCTCCTCCGTCACCATCACCATCATCATCATCAGCATCACCATCATCACCGTCACCATCATCATGGTCATCATCATCATCATCATCATCATCATCATCATCATAATCGTCATCAGCATCAGCATCATCATCATATCATCATCATCATCATCATCATCATCAGCAGCAGCATCATCATTATCATCATCATCATCATCATCGTCATTAGCATCATCATCATCATGATCATCATCATCAGCAGCAGCAGCATCAGCATCGTCATCATCATCTTCATCGTCATCCTCATCATCATCAACAACATCATCATCATCATCGTCATCATCATCATCCGCAGCAGCATCATCATCAAGTCCATAATTATCATCAGCATCATCATCATCATCATCATTGCCATCGTCATCACCATCATCATCATCATCAGCATCATCTGCCTCTGCATCATCATTATCACTATCATCCGCATCGTCCTCATCAGTTTCATCATCATCAGCAACATTTGCATCAGCATCAGCATCATCGTCATCATCATCGCCGTCTTCGTTGTCGTCATCCGCATCAGCATCATCATCATCATCATCAGCAGCATCATCATCAGCATCATCATCAGCAGCACAATCAGCAGCATCATCAGCAGCATCATCATCATCATCACCATCATCACCATCGTCAGCATCAGCAGCAGCATCATCAGCAGCAGCATCATCAGCAGCAGCATCATTAGCGTCATGAGCATCAGCATCATCATCACCCGCATCATCATCATCATCATCATCATCTTCATCATCATTATCATCATCATCATCATCATCATCATCATCATCATCATCATCATCATCATCATAGCACCATGAGCATCATCATCAACCTCATCAACATCGTCATCATCAGCAGCATCATCATCATTCTCGTCGACAGTGTCAGCATCATCGTCATCATCATGATCATCAGCAACAGCAGCAGCATCAGCATCAGCATCAACATCAGCACCATCAACATCATTATCATCATCATCCTAATCAGCCTCATCCTCAACATCATCATCAGCATCGTCGACAGTGTCAGCGTCATCGACATCAGCATCATCGCCATCATCATCATCATCAGCGTCAGTGTCATCAGCATCATCAGCATCAGCATCAGCATCACCATCATAATCGTCGACAGTGTCGACATCATGGTCATCATCATTAGCATCAGCAACAGCAGCAACATCAGCACCATTAACATCATCGACAGCAGCATCATCATCATCATCATCATCGTCGTCGTCATCATCATCATCATCATCATCATCGTCGTCATCATCATCAGCAGCATCATCATCATCGTCAGCATCAGCATCATCGTCATCACCATCATCAGCAATAGCATCAGGATCATCGTCGGCATCATCATCATCATCGTCATCATAAACATCATCAACCTCATCATTATCATAATCGTCAACATCGTCATCATCACCAGTATCAGTCATTGGCGTCATTACCACCATTAGCATCATCAGCAGAGGCAGCATCGTCATCGTTCTCATCAGCAGCATCATCATCATCATCATCATCATCAGCACCATCGTCATCATCATCAATCTCCGCATCATCATCATCATCATCATCATCATCATCATCCTCTGCATGCTCATCCTCAACCATTATCATCCTATTCCTGCATCTCCTCCTCCTCCTCCTCCTCACATCTCACCCCTAACTCCTCACGCCTCAATCATCACTCCTCACTCCTCACTCCTCACTCCTCACTCCTCACTCCGCGCTCCTCACTCCTCACTCCTCAATCATCCTCCACCTCCTCCTTATCCTCTTCCTCCTCCTCCGCATCATCATCATCATCATCATCATCATCAATATCATCAGCATCATCATCACCACCACCATCATCATCATCAGCAGCATAATGTCCATCATCATCACAAGCATCATCGTCATCATCATCAGCATCAACATAAGCATCATCATCAGCAGCAGCATCATCATCGATATCATCATCAGTTTCAGCATCATCATCATCATGACCATGTGCCGCATCAGCATCAGCATCAGCACCACCACCATCATCATCATCAACAACATCATCATCATCAGCAGCATCAGCATCATCATCAGCAGCATCAGTATCATCATCAGCAGCATCATCATGATCACCATCATCATCATCATCATCATCATCATCAGCATCAGCATCAGCATCATCATCAGCAGCATCAGCATCAGCATCAGCCGCATCAGCAGCATCATCACCACCACCACCTCTACCATCATCATCATCAGGATCAGCATCATCAGCATCATCCTCATCCTCATCCTCATCATCATCATTATCGGCATCGTCATCATCGTCATCATCAGCAGCAGCATCGTCCTCGTCATCATCATCAGCAGCAGCATCATGTCCGCCATCATCATCAGCATCATCGTCATCATCATCATCATCATCATCATCATGATCATCATCATCATCATCATCATCATCATCATCATCATCATCGGCAGCATCAGCATCAGCATCATCAGCATCAGCAGCATCATCATCGTCATTTTCATCATCATCAGCCGCATCACCATCAGCATCATCATCACCACCATTATCAGCAGCATCATCAGCATCAGCATTACCACCATCATCATCAGCATCATCATCATCATCATCATCATCATCAACATCATCAACATGATCATCGTTATCGTCATCATCAACATCACGGCTCTGCGAACCGTGGGGGCACGAGGCGTCACACATCACGACCTCCCGTGCCTCCTCGAACAGTCGCCACTCAGAATGCTGGGCCGGCACAGTGGCGGGACTTGCGGCAGGCAGCTGGACAGTGCCACGATCCAACCTGGGAAGGAGCGGGCGAGGAGCCGGGGGCGGCGCCGTCACAGCCGCCCGCACCCAGGAGGCCGTCGGTCCGCTCCGCCGCGACCTGGGCCGCCGCCAGGCTCACCTCTGCAGAAGGCTCGTTGAGGACTTGACGACCCTGGGGATGCTTGAACTTACTTCTTGGATTGACCAACATGTACCAGGCTTCGCCTGCATTTACGTGGGTTCGTCTACTCAAAATTTTGTAACAAGAGGGAGGGGGTCACAACCCTCCCAGACGAACAGTTTTAGACCCCCCCAAACCAGCCATGAAAGGGCGGCCTTTTGGCCAGACCCCGCAGAACCCTCCAAGACAGCTCCAATCAGACCCCGCCAAAAAACAGACCACCCCACTTTTAGTGCGACCTTCGGAAAACACTTGCCTTGATCTATCCGGCTTGATCCCCACGGGGCGGTGGCGAAAAGCCGTCAAGCCCTCTGGGAAAGACCCCTCGCCGCCAGCACAGCCGGCCAGCCCCAGCCAAGGCCGTCCCTGGGCTCAGGTCGGACAAATCCCCCGACAGGCGAGTTTCGCGCGAAAACAAGCCTCCAGAAATACAAGGAAAATGCTTCGACATGACCAGGAAATCGTCCCCTGACTGTGCTTGTTTTTTTATGTGTTCATATTGATGATAATAATAATAAGAAGAATAATAGTAATAATAATAATGATGACAATAATATTAATAATAATAATAATGATAACAATAACAATAACAATAATACTATAATAATAATAATAATGATAATAATAAGAATAATAATAATACCAATAATAATAATAGCGATACTGCTTCTGATATACTAAAGATCAGAAATAAGAAGAAGAAGAGTAATCATAAGAACAGCAACAATAACAATAATGAACATGATGAAACTAATAAGAATGATGATGATAGTGATAACGATACTATTACTAATGATAATACGAATGAATAAGTGGTATTGTTTTACAACAACAACAACAACAACAACAACCACAAAAACAACAACAACAACAACGAAAACAACAACAACAACAACAACAACAACAACAATCACAACAACAACAATCACAACAACAACAACAACTACAACAACAACAACAACAACAGCAACAGCAACAGCAACAGCAACAGCAACAGCAACAGCAACAGCAACAACAACAACAGCAACAACAACAACAACAGCAACAGCAACAGCAACAGCAACAACAACAACAACAACAAGAGGCGGAGGAGGAGAAGCCCCTGGGAGCTCCCGCCCTGTAGCTCGAGGGGGCCTGGTATCAACCGATGGTAGCACACGAAGTCTACTCGGGATTGTCGTAAAGAAATGATAATCTTGATTATCGGCCGTATGAAACGAAACGCAACCTTTTACGTGACTCAGGGGCCCCTGAACATCAAACGGCGATGGTACATGGCAATCGAACAGCAACGCTGCAAACAATACTTCACGTCTGTGCTAATCTGCATACACACTGGCAAGAATAAACACTACACAAATTCGGTAGAACAAAGGTGATAACGACACGGGCGGAAAAAGGAGTTAGCACAGATACGCTATAAACCAATCATCGCCTAGAACAGGGCTCCCCGGAACTTTACCAGGAAACAAAACTCAACTCGAAACTAAACAGAGCATCAAAACGCTCGGGAACAGGACCGAAGCTAAAACAGACAAACATCCCTGACACCGCAGGTCCCAGGACACAAACCTTGTCTGACAAGACTGTGAAACCACCGGCGGTCGCGACAGCGACGTACATCTCCTTAATTATTTTCAGCAGCCAGGCGATCGGTCGATCTCGCCCGGCAAACAAGTCCGCGCCTCCACGGCGCTCAGCATGTCGTGCTTCTCGAAGCACTTCAGGTAGTGCGGCATCGCCGCCACGTCGCCATAGGCGTGGGTTCCCCTCGTCGTAGTGATCAGCTGAAGAATGCCCCGTGGGCGTACTCCGGCAACGGCTGGAACCTCGGCTGTGCCAGGTCGAGATTGTAGCGTGTCGGAGCCTGGCAGCACATGTCGCGCGTCTTCTTCTGCTTGATCGGCTTCGTGCTCGTTCCTGTCGTGGCGGTCCCCGCCGTCGTCGATCTGGTCGGGATCTGTCCCGTCTCCAGCTCCAGCGTCTTGTAGGCTGCGCTCGTCGTCTTGCTCGTCAGGTGCATCCACCACACCCCTGCGCAGAACCCACAGCCGAACGCCAGGATGAGGCATGTCACGATGCCTATCATGAGCAGCTTCGTGATCAGGCCGCTCCAGTCGTCGGGCCCCGGTGTGTTGAACAGCTCAACGCCGCTGGGCATGTACTTCATCAACTCTCCGGCTGCACTCGATGCTCCGCTCGCTGCCAAGGTTGCCGCCAACCTCGCACCACTCGCGCCGAAATGGCGCTTCCTCTGCTTGGGCTTCTCCTTTGGCTTTGCCTCAAACTCGTCCGCCAGGTCATCTCCAGCCTGGTCCAGCTCCTTCTCGCGCTGCTCCATCGCGCGCTTGGTCAGCTTCTTCCCGGCCACGAAATTCGGGTCGCACCGTAGAGCGTGAACTCCACGGCGCAGCACGTCCGCCATCTGCTGGCGTGCGGAGAGCTTCGTCAACCCGTCCGCCATCTGCTGCTGGGTATTCACCCACTTCCACACTGCTCCGATCTCTTCCATCTGTTCGTTCACAATATTCACCTCGATGGCTGTCCGCTTCTCCGTGATGCCCAGGCCTGCTGTGGCTGACCTTGAGGCGTCGTAGAGACACTTCGCGTCCGTGATGAACGGCGACTCTCCGAGGTACAGCATCGCTTGGTCTGGCTTGAAGTCTGGCCGCAAGCTCAGCGTCAGGTAGATCTTCACCCACATCAACGAATCCACGCCTAGCGCAGCTGCCTGCGCCTCCGCGGACAGCGAGCTCCTGCACAGCCGCACGAGCTTCTTCGAGGCCCACTCCACCCCCACGAACGGTGTCGGGTTGCCGTTTCGCAGGTCGTCGTCGGGTCCAACGAAGATCGCATAGCCACCCTGCGAGCTCCCGTCCAGGCGGCTGGCCCAACTCGCGTCGGAGTAGCCTCCCACGCGCAGCTCGCTCCAGGCCTTGTCGAACCCGAAGTAGAGTCCCACGTCCGCGTTGGCCTTCAGAAAGCGCAGATCCTTGTTCGCGTCCAGGAGGTCCTGCACCGTAGCACTTCCCGTGGCCGCTGCCCTGAAAGAAACAGTCGCTGCGGCTATCATCACTCCTTGGGCCGCGGGCCACTGCAGCTGCCCGTTCAGGGTCCTGAAACTGGTGAGCTCCCTCGGCGTCAGCGCGCTCGTCGGGTCCGCCCGGCGGTGCTTCTCGATGGTGATGGGCTTCACCGCGTGCAGGTACTTCTCGAACTTCAGGGTCACCGCGTAGGTGCTGAGAGACTGCTCCACCTCGCCACCAGTGAAGATCAGGCTCGGCCCGAAGTCCCACTTGCCGAACGTGAACTTCTGGTTGAGCGCGCCCAATCTCGCTTGGAAGCACTCCGAGTTGTCCAGCATGGTGTGCAAGTCGTCCTCACAGTTGACTCCCTCGCCGCATCCGATGAAGTCGTCCACGTGCTTGCCGATCAGGCCGTCCACCACGTAGGTCTGGTCCTCGAAGCTGCACACGTCGAACGGGTCGTCCTCGACCTTCGCCGGGCGCAGGGACAGCAAGAGGCAGTCCTCGAGCCAGTGGTTCCTGAACCCGATCTCCTTCGTGACTTCATCCGACCGGTAGTGCCAGAGCTTCGGCGACCTCGGGTCCCCGAAACACGGCTTGATCATCTTCAGCAGCTGTCCAGGTTGCAGGCCGATCTGCTGAGAGAGCATCTCCCTCATCTCCTTCGTCGGGCTCGCGTACAGCTTGAGTCCGCGTACGCTCACGTCCTCCGCCTGCAGGAATGCGGACTTCACATCCGCCGTGAACAGCCTCCACTTCCGTAGGGACGCCCAGAGCATGACCGTGTGCCGGCCCAGTCTGCTCAAGGTCGGCGCCTCCTTGTCGAGCTGGCCCTCGGCGACGTCGCGATGCTTGAACCCCTGGTACAGCACGCGCGCGTTAGCCACCTTCTGTCCGTCTTTCATCTTCCACTTCAGCAAGAACCGCAACGGACAGCAAGCTGCTGGGTCCACGTCTTCCTCGTTGATGGGCTCCCAGCCGTCGTTCCGATTGAACACCTCGAGGGCCTCCAGCTTCGCTGCGTAGAATTGTTCCTTCTCCTCGGGCGTCAGCTTTCCCTCCACGATGGTGGGGGCTTTCCGCTTGAAGGCCAGCATGTAGACCGTCTCAGTGGACTCTTCCAACAATAGCATCTCGTCGTCTACTTCTTCAAGCAGCGTGGCGTGCTCGTCAGGAGGGTTCAGCTTGGCCCACGTCAAGCGGGCTCGCTTCGATAGCGGCACGCCATCCAGCTTCTCGGCCTCCTCTACGCTCCTCTTGGCCATCGTCTCGATGTGGAGCCGGCTGGGCTCTGGCGCTGCATGGCTTGATGCACTTCCGCTCGCGGCGGCGCCATCGTCAGCCGCTGGGGAACGTGGTGAGTCTCGATCAACTGCTTCCACGCCACCAGCATCGCCAGGCTGAGCCTCCTCGGGAGTTGCCGCTGCAGCTGCCCCCGATGCCTCGCCGGGCTCCTCCATGTCTGTCTCCTGGACGTCGGGTCCCCGCGCCTGCGGCTGGTCCCCCATGTCGTCCAGGTTGCCGTCGTACTGGGGCGTCTGCCCCTCCTCCGCCAGGTCCCTGTAGTTGCAGGTACCCTTCGTCCGCCTCAATGCGCGGCGCAGCTTCTCGATCAAGCTGAGCGGACTGTCGGGGTCGTCCCTGCGGCCCTCGCGCTCGCGGGCCTCGCCCGGCAGTTCAGGTCGTAGCTGCTCGACCGTGCACCTGTAGATCACGCACCCGTGTGTGGCCCAGACCACTGAGGTGTGCAGCACGTCGTCCTCGTTGGGCTTCGCCTCCACGGCCACCACCAGCGCGGGCCCGAACCAGTGGCACTTCTCCAGGCCACGTGAAGGCTCCGGTCTCCAAATGTAGACCCACTCGCCAACCTCGTATTCTCGCCGGGTCGGCCTGCTGCGGGCCAACAGGGCCGCGCGCACGGCGCGCGAGCAGTTGGCCTCGATGAAGGCCGTGCCGGCGGCGACACGCCGCAGCATCATCTCGTGCACCTCGCTCCTCGGGTCGACCAGCGCGGACTGCTCGGCCAGGCCGAAGTCCTCGTCAGTGAGGGCGCCCGGCACGCGGGGCTGAGTCCCCAGCACCAGCATGGCGGGTGAGAACCCGTGCACGTTCCGCAGTAGGTTGCGCTGGCTGGCCGTCATCCGAAGGGCTGTCTTGAGCGAGTCGTCGGGGAACTGCATGTGGTACTTGCTCAGCTGCTCCCTCCGAACCGCGTGGTTCCGCTCCATCAAGCCCAGCTTGTGATGCGCGCCCTTCGGTATCAGGTCGAGCTTGATGTCGTGCTTGCTCATCCAGGAGTGCATCTTCTTGGACGTGTGCGAACCGCCCATGTCCATGCGCATCGTCTCGGGCTTGCCGGCCCAGCTGATCCAGAGCTTCTCGAAGAGCTTCTTCTCCTTCTTGAAGGTCTCCTTTGCGATAGGGTAATCGACCTCGTAGCGCGTGAACTCGTCCATCATCGCTAGGATCTTCCGTTCCTTCGTCTTCCAGGTAACGTAGTACACGTCGGTGCAGACCACCTCGTTGAAGCGCTTGGCCTTCGGGAGCACGGCCACGCGCACGGTGCGCGGTCGCTGTCTCTTGAGGCAAATCTCGCACTGATAAAGCCTGGCGCACTGGATCCACTCTGCTGGGGCACCTGCGTGTCGCATGGCGTTGGCCAGCGCCGCATTCGAGGGGTGTCCCAGGCTGACGTGGGCGCGCTTGACCGCACGGATGGTCGAGACGTTGAAGCGCTTCATCAGCTCCTGCATTACGTCTGTGTACTCGATGGCGTCGATGTCCTTGTGCACTTCCTCGGCTGTGTAAATCTCGTCGATGTCGGCGGCCATGCCCTGGTAAGCAATCAGGTAGGCCATCCGCCGGGCCATCGGTGCGGGGTAGTTCTGAGCCTGCTGGGCGAGCTTGCCGCGTAGTGTCACGCGCTCGCCCCTGCACTCGCACCTCAGACCCATGTGATCGACGAACTCCTTGTTAGTGGACTGCAATCGCGTCGGCTTCTGGTACGGCATGTCCACTCCCTTCATGGGGAACTTGGCTCCCAGGCGGCACTGGTCCAGTCGGCAGTGATGTCCCGGCAGTGCCTTCCACGTCTTGGTGTTCCAGTGCGCTCCTGACCATGGGCCTTCCACGTAGGCGTGTCGGCCTCCACTCAGCTGCTTCACGAACGAGTCTCGGACCAGCTTCAGAAACGTCTTCTCCTCGCGCACTCTCGCCTCGTGGATCTCCGCGGCGCGCTCCGCTGAGAGCGAGGCGTTCACGTACTGCCACGAGCACCATACTTTGCACGGGGGTGCGAAGAAGATGTCGTCGGGTCTCTCGACGTCGATCTTCCTCAAGAACGCCTTGATCACCTTCGGCTTGGAGAAATCCCAGCCGTCCTCGAGGCGGAACTGCATGACGTCCACCATGGGGTACTCGAGCAGCGCTTGCGACAGACCTCCTGCGTCCACGAATACCTCCCAGACCTTGCGCGGCGGGGGTCCTCGGAGCATCTCCTTCATGCCGTCGCATGCCTGCTCGAGGGCCAGGGCCAGGTCGGTGTAGGTGTCGGGGTCCATCGTGCTCGGTTTAGCGCTCTCGCTCGAACCCGCCACCGAAAACTCCTGGGTCCGCTCACTTCCCACGTCGTCATTGTCACTGATGTCATAAAACTCGGTGACCGTCTCGAGGTAGTACGCGTCGGGGTCCACGTCGGACGATTCAGAATCGTCCTCGGACTCGGTCGGCGGTGCCTCGGACTCCTTGTCGGTCGAGTCGTCGCTGCTGGGCTCGCCCTCGGTCGGCGCGCCCTCGTTCATCGCGTCGTCGGTGGGCCTGCCGGCGCCACCCAGCAGGTCGATGATGAAGTGCCCCTTCTCGTCTCGCTCGGACTTCATCCAGCCTTTGTCGGGGAGGTCCTTCATCATGAACGTGCCGGCGCGGTAGTCCTGGACCAAACCCCACTCTTCCATGCACGAACGGGCGATGAGCAGCGGCGTCCACCCCTCGACGAGATGGATCGTGATCTGCTTCTTGACGCCGAACGGCCACACGTTCAAGGTCACGGACCGTTTGGCCTCCAGCGTCTTGCCGTCTCCGAATCGAAATCGTCGGTCGCTCTTGCCGTACTCGACCTCGTGCAGCAGCTGGCGTGAACGCAGCAGCTCCTCCCACTGCGCCCAGATCTTGTCGCCCATGACGGGTCGCGTCGCACCGCCGTCGCTGATGCCCTTGCCAGTCGACATCAGGTACACCTCCTCGGTCGAGTTAGCGTACTCCAGCGTCTCCACGTCTTCTACCATGGCGGCGTGCTCCGAATCGGGCTTCACGAAACCTCCTCCACGGAATCGCTTGAACCTCGGGCCGTGCTGCTGTGTCGAGCCTGTAGCGGTCGATCCTGCCGGCGTCGCCGTCGGGGGCCTGTTGAAGATGTTCACTTTCGGCCTGAACACCTGGCGCGAGCCGGTGCCCTTGCCTTTGCCTTTGCCTTTGCTGCGGCCCTTGCCCTTGCCGCCCGTCGGCTTGGCGGGGCGCGACGCGCCCTTGCCGTGTTGAAGGTTGTTGTCAGGCGCGACAGCTACGATCGGGCAAAACCCTCTCGACTTGGCGATCTCCGCTACGCGCTTCTTCGCATCCACGAAACTGAGGTAGGCCTCGTCGCACGCAATCTGGGCTTCTTCCACGTCCTGCGGCAGCTCCTCGGCGACGTCGGCCTCTTCCTCGTACTCTTCAGCGTCGTACTCTTCGTATTCGTCGTAATCGTACTCTTCCTCCTCCAGGTATGAGTCCTCGTAGCTCAGGCCTCGCTCCCACTCGTAATCGTTCGTGTAGTGCACGTCGTCCTTGTGACCCTGCCCGACCAGCATCCTCTCAACTCGCTTCACGTCGCGCTTGTCGGGTACGGCTTCGGCTCCATATGTATCGAGTAGGGCCTTCTTCACACTGATCCAACTGAGGCCATTGGCACATTGACTTCGCACCTGGGCGGCGCCCGAAGGCGGGACGGCCGCTCGTGAGAGGAGGTGCCAGCCCGCCAGCATGTCGGGAATCTCCATACCGACCTCCTTGAGCTTCCTCAGCTCTCGCTTGTGACGCAAGCAGTAGAGCTTCATCGTCTCCTTATCCTGGCGAGCGAACTTGCCGAAAAACTGATCTGTGCGGGCTGGCAGCTCGGTCTGGTTGTCGTACTTGTAGTATTCGTCGAGGACCTGGAACAGCGGCTTGAAGGCGTCCTCGGACTCCAGCTGATCCAGGTCGATATCCTCCGTAGCCTCCGCGGCTTCACCCTGCAGCGAGTTCATGATCAAGAACGCGCCCTCGCTGATTGCGGTGGTGCCGCGCTTCCTGCAGCAGCGCTCGAAGACCTCTAGCTTTCGACGAAAGACTCTGTAGCCGTCGGTCTTGAGCAGCTCGTATGTCGGTGCCGTCTTGGACAGGCCTGCGTCGAGGCCTCTTCCCCCACCGTCCCAGGCGGAACTCGCCCTCTGCCACCAGTCGTTCCAGTCTCCACCCTCGGCATAATGACCCTCCACGGTGCTGTCGGGAGATGGCGGGACTCTGGACGTCTCTGCTGTTGGTGCGCTGCCGGCGGCAGCTCCCGCAGCGGCGGCCGTCGTGGCCGCGGCGCCAGGCGCCCTCGCGGGCGGTGGTGACGCCGGCGTGGCCGGCGGCCTCGGCGGACCCCGCGGGCGCGGGTCCGCTGGCATGGCGGCGGCGGTGGGGGGCCGGAGTGTGGATCTCCGGCTCCGCTACCAATATCAACCGATGGTAGCACACGAAGTCTACTCGGGATTGTCGTAAAGAAATGATAATCTTGATTATCGGCCGTATGAAACGAAACGCAACCTTTTACGTGACTCAGGGGCCCCTGAACATCAAACGGCGATGGTACATGGCAATCGAACAGCAACGCTGCAAACAATACTTCACGTCTGTGCTAATCTGCATACACACTGGCAAGAATAAACAATACACAAATTCGGTAGAACAAAGGTGATAACGACACCTGGGCCCCTCCCCCGCCAGCGGCTCGCCGCCGGCCCCCTGGCCTCAGGTCGGGGCATGTCCCCCTGGCCTCAGGTCTGGACGCAAAAAAATGGCCACTGGATGCTCAAAAATCGTCCCACGACTATTTTTGTCTTGTTTGCTGGCCATCTATTTTTGTGCACTCCTCCTGTGGAGGGACAGGCCCGACTTGACCCCGGCAGGGAGGGGAGTTCCCCGGGAGGCGGCGCCTCCAGGCCACCGAGGCGGCCCGCGCCGGCGGGCCCGCAGGCGGCGCCGCAGCGCTGCAGGGCCTCCACCGCGGCGCTGGAGAGCACCTCTTCCGGGGGGGGGGGCGCCCGGTGTCAACGGTCCTGCCTTTCACCACTTAGCTGTCTCACCTCTCGCTTCGTCCTTCTCGCTTTGTCCCTCCTCGTCCCCCATCCATCCCTGCTTCTCCGCTGCCGTTTAGGGCCCTTGAGCCAGTGCGCCCCGGGGACAGGAGGTAAGAGATATGCCTCCTAGCGATCTCGATCCGATCCGAAGCGCTCCCCGATCGACATCCGGGAGGAGGAGCCAGGGCTGGACGTAAGTCTGGCCTGCCCCTCTACAGGAAAAGAATGGAAAAAAAATCAAAAAATCCGCCGATCCGGCGTGTTGAAAAAAGCTAGAGGCTGAGCTTCAGCTCTGCTGGGGGGTGCCAGAGTGGCTCTGCCGGGGTTGGGGGGGGAGGGGGGAGGGGGGATGGGGTCCAAGTTTTCTTTCCCCCCCTCTGCCGGGGTTGGGGACGGAGGGGGGGGGGTGATGGGGTCCACGTTTTCTTCCCCCCCACCCCCCCGGGGTTGGGCCCCCTCTGCAGGGGTTGGGGGGGAGGGGGGCGGGGCGGTTGATGGGGTCCACGTTTTCTTTCCCCGCCTCTGCCGGGGTCGGGGGGGGATGGGGGGGGGGGGCGGGGGTCCACGTTTTCTCCCCCCCCGCGCCTCCCCCCCGGGGTCCCCGACCCCCCCCCTCTCGGATTCCGACCCCCCCTCGGATTCCGACCCCCCCTCAGAGGCGGAATCACAGAACGGGAAAAAAAAGGACAAGACAGATACGACAACAATCTCCGACGCGACCGCCGAATGCGGAGCGCCCCGGATCGGCGGCACTGGCCGGAGGCCACTACAGTATGGGGACGATGTTTCTACTATGATTGAACATGTTTGGTGTTTACTTGTTCGAACATGTTTTTATCTTTCTTTCTTCCAAAATCCTACCCGACCTAAGGCTGGACGTCAACGTTGTTGTTCGTGTTGCTTTCGTTTTGTTGCTCGTTTTGCCCTACCTGTGTTCCTGCACCTCCCTGCCAAAGCGAGAAAACAAAACGCAGCCGAAGCCCAGGGACACAGCGTTCGGGTCCAGCCCTTGGGGGCGACCAGGCCACACGAGAAGCGACGAGCGAGAGGGGGGGAGTAGCTTCGGACTCGAGGCTGGAAGCTGCTTTTCCCGACGTTTTGGTCGGCTATCGGCGGCTGTCCCGCCTCGGGCTGCTTGCCAGCAGCTGCGTCTCGCCGAGGGCGTTCCCGGGGGGGGGGGGGGCCCGGATCGTCGCGACCGGCCGCCGGAGACCCCGAGTTTTATGACGTAAAATCCAGATGCGACGGCGCGCCTGGGGGAGGGGAAGCGAGAGGGAGAGCGCCTTCTCAAAGGCAGCGGGGCTGCTCAGAAGCCCCCGCGGCCTTCCGAGAGGTGCCCTGCGTTCTGGAGGGGAGGCCGAGAAGCCTCCTCCGAGGGCCGGGGGACGTCGGGGCCTTCTGAGAAGGCCCGCCCCCGCTCACTTCCCCCCGCGGGCTCGCCGCCGAATATTAGGGAGGCGCCCGGGGGGGGAAGCGCTGCAGGATTTCCTGTGGCTTTCTGTGCTTCTCTGCCTGGTTGGATCTTCCCCGTCTCCCAGGGTGCCCCAGAATTTTGCCTGGCGGTCGACGCTCCCTTGCGTCTGTGTCTACTTTGCCCTCCTGGGCCATCGAGCGGCGCGCACGCCCCCCGAGCGTTAGGTCGGGCATGTCCTCCTACAGGCGGATTTTGGACGAAAAATAAAAAATGACAAAAACTCGAACATGATCAGAAATTGTCCCACAAAAAAATCGTCCCCTGACTAGATGTTTAAACTATATTCCAGATGTAAAGGGACGTGCCCGACTCAACCCGCGCGGTGTGCACGCCCTCCAGGCCCAGCCTGGGCCCCCACGGGCGGTGTGCGGTGGAGGCCCGTCCACAGGGAGCCTTCCACGAGACGCCCAACCCCAAAGGCCCCAGGCCTCCTCCCTGCCCCTCCTCCCTCCCTCCTCCTCCTCCTCCTCCTCCTCCTCCTCCTCCTCCTCCTCCTCCTCCTCCCTCCTCCTCCTCCTCTCCTCCTTTTCCGCCTCCTCCTCCTCCCCCCCCCCCCCCCTCCTCCCCCTCCTCTCCTCCTCCTCCTCCTCCTCCTCCTCCTCCTCCTCCCCCTCCCCCTCCTCCTCCTCCTCCCTCCTCCTCCCCTCCTTCCTCCTCCTCCTCCTCCTCCTCCTCCTCCTCCTCCTCCTCCTCCTCCTCCTCCTCCTCCTCCTCCTCCTCCTCCTTCCTCCTCCTCCTCCTCCTCCCCCTCCTCCTCCTCCTCCTCCTCCTCCCCCCTCCCCATCCTCCTCCTCCCCCTCCCCTCCTCCTCCTCCTCCTCCTCCTCCTCCTCTCCTCCTCCTCCTCCTCCTCCCTCCTCCCTCCCTCCTCCTCCTCCTCCTCCTCCTCCTCCTCCTCCTCCTCGAAGTTTGATCATCATCCTGCCCTGGGAGGGCCTCGATCCTCGGACCCCGATCCTCCAAGAGCAGCAACCAAACTCTGCCAGACGAAACTCGGCCAGGCCGAACGCGGCCAGGCGAAACTCCCTCGGACCTTGGCGCTGCAATTCTGCTCACGCCAGGCGCTTTTTCGCCCGGCTTCGGGCCCTGGGACCCTCACGGATCGATGCGGCTCGAGTCATGCAGCAGAAAGACGGAATCTAGGGCTCGGGGCGTGACATGTTGCGACGTTGTACGTTTTGCAACGTCGGATCGCTGGGAGAGGGGCGTCCGAGGGCAGCAGCTAAACTCGGCCAGGCGAAACTCGGCCAGGCTGCACTCGGCCAGGCGAGACTCCGCCGACGGGCCTCGGCCAGGCCGATCTCGGCCAGGCTGAATTCGGCCCCGTCCGAGTGCAGCCTGGCCGAGTTTCGCCCGGCCGCGTGTCGCCTCGCCGAGTCTTTCCCTTGTCCAGAGAGCGGGATTCGCAGATGCGCGGCCCAGTGAGGGCCACAGGACGCAGTGAAATAAGAAGGGTCGGGCATAGCATCCGGGGAGATATCATGGCCCCGGCCATGATATCCAGCCCCCCCCCCTAGTCATCACCCCCCTGTGAAAGTGACTCAGTGTCTGCAGGTCGTGTCCAAGCATCGTCCTGGGGACATCCCTGGGGGTAGTTCATCCCGGGGGCCGAAAACGGCCCCCAGGAGGCCAAAAGCGACGAGAAGCCGAGGGCGACGAGAACAAACTAACCCAAGATTAAAGATTGCAGTACTTTTCCAGGGCTGTGTCGTCACCCTCTCCCCCCTTTTAGGGGCCTCCTAAATGAAGTCCGAGTAAATGGGGTGAGGATCGCGCCCGCCGATGCATCAGAGATACATCGGCGATGCATCGGCGACGTCGGCGATGCATCGGCGCCATCGGCGCGGATAAAATCGGGCTCCACATCGAACCGAATGGGCGATGAATCGGCAATGAAGCGCGATCCTCCAACACCATCTACTCGGAGCTCATCTAGCATAAAGGGGCCCAGGGACACACAAGTAAATAGACACAAATCCCGGGATTCCCCATACTGTTCATAGTTCCTGGATGTTCGTCTTCCCATCCGCTTCCCATGTTTTCCTGGGAATCGACGATGATTTGTGTCTGCGTGTACTTTTCACTTCTAGTGGGAGACCTAGATTATGGGCGACGATATCTATACACATGCACTGCTTCCTGGCCAGGCCAATCATGAACCCAGCAGCGGTGCATACGCCGCGTCCTCCTGGCTTGGCCACAAGAGGGCGTCTACACAGCTGCTGGGCCCAGGAAGGGCCCGGCCAGAGGGCAGTGGATATGTATACATAGATTTCGTCGCCCATCTTCTTGAAGCCCATCTGGGCGGCCTAGACTTAGGTCGGGCATGTCCCCCTACAGGCGGATTTTGAGAGAAAAGCTTCAACAACAACAAAAATCATAACAGATTCAAAAAGAATCGCAAAATCGTCGAAAAACCGTTCCCAGGCTATTCGCTTACCATTCTTGCAAAATTCCTCCTGCAGAGGCACATGCCCTGCTCAAGCCCAGACTTTTTAGCCGCACCCACACCTCCAGGGGCGCCCAGACCAGCTCTGGGCAGGCCACCAGCGAGGCCCTCCGCGCGGTGAGGGCGCCGGCGCCCGCGGGCGCGCGCGCGCGGATGACGCCGCGGAGGCGCTCGCGGAAGAAGGGAGGGCCCGCAGACCCTGCCAGGCAGGCCCGCGTCGTGAAAAAAACACGGCGGGGGATCACAGATCGATCCAGCTCGAATGGCAGCAGAACGATGAGGTCTACAGTCAGCCCGTACAGTGGGGAGGCGCGATGAGGATGCAAGGGCCTCGGAAGGCCATGTCGAAGCTCTTCGGGCAGGGCGTGGCCAGCGAAAGCGGCCAAGGATGGACCGAGAGGGCAAGCATGCAAGGGCACCCTTGGGAAGGTTGCCCATCCATACTATGTGGGTTGACTGTAAGGCCGATGCCGTGGTTTCTCGCGATGTTGCATGCCTTCGCGACGCAAGACCTCAGGGTACACAAACGTAAAACTGTCGACGAGTCCGCGCGGATCCCCCGGCAGCGGCGCTGGGCCCCCCTCCCTGCGGCGCCGGAGGCGCGGCCAAGGGGAGGGGGGCCCAGCGCCGCCGCCGGGAAAATCCGCGAGGGCCTCCGAAGGTTTTGTGCCTGCGCGGCTTCTCTTCTTCCAGCTCACCGGGGGGACGTCAAGGTGGGGTATGGGGCAGGGCTGGGGTCGGAGGAAGAACGCTCCGCACGGCCCTCGGCAGAGAGAGACGTGGTCATCCAGCCGGGTTCGCTCCCTGACTTTACCTTGCTGGGCCAAGTTTGATCCGGCCGATCCGGCTCGATGCCGATGTTGGCCCGATCGATCGGATTCGAGCCCGACACTCTGACGACCCGATGCGGCCCGATGCCTGCATGGCGCCGTCGTGCATCCTGGCGCGGCCGACTGGATTCGGTCCCGACTCCGTGCCGACGCGATCCGACGCACGCTCTGGCCCGATGCGATCTGCCCCTTCGCTGCTGGCTGGTCCTGCCTTGGGATACCCCCCCTGCACGGTTTCCCCCCAGGCCGCAGGAGACCCGAGGAGGAGGAGGAGGCGGAGGAGGAAGAGGAGGAGGAGGGAGGAAGAGGAGGAGGAGGGAGGAGGAGGAGGAGGAGGAGGAGGAGGAGGAGGAGGAGGAGGAGGGAGGAGGAGGTACGATGAGGAGGAGGAGGAGCAGGAGGAGGAGGAGGGGTCGCCTGAGCCCTTCGGAGAAACCCTCCAACTCCCCCCCCTTCACGGACCCCCGCGCTCGGGGAGCAGCAGGCAGTCCGCGTCGGCCCTGACGGTCCAGTCCTGGGCGCGAAACGCGCCGTCCGCGACGACGGCGGTCCAGAGGGCCACGAAGACGGCGCCGGCCGAGGCGGGGCGCGGCAGGCTCGTGAGGGCCACCGGGTCCACGTCGAGGACCCGGACGTGGGCACCGCCCAGCTTCCTGGAAGGAGCGCCAGGCGGGCGCGCTGCGCGACTCGCAGAGTCAATGCTCGCAAATGCAAATGGCTTGGATCCGCCGCGGGGGATCTGCGATCGATTGCATCGGGGCGAGCGTGGGTTTTCGTCGGGCGTTTCCGAGTAGGCACTTTGCGAGTAGTGGAACGCGCTCGGCGAAGCCAAGAGTGTGCACAAGCACAAACTGTCGGAGCGCCGCGCAGGCGTCCTTGGTCGGCGCTGGGCCCCCCCATGCGGCCGCCTCCGCCGCCGCCCTTGGCGCGCTCTGGCGGGGGGGGGCCCAGCGCCGACGCCGAGAGATCCGCACGGGCCTCAGGGAGTTGCGCGTTTGTGCCGAGGTTTGATTATTCGTCGGTTTCCCTGCGGAACTGCTGTAGAGCGCGTAGTCATCGCAGCCGAACACGCCGACGCCAGCGGCCATGTGCCCGCGGACGAGGTCGCCCTGACCAGGCGTGAACAGCGTGATGCAGAACAGCGAGCTGCCCGCGGGCTGCCGTAGAGGAACAAACAACGACATGAGCTTCAACGTTGGGAGGTCCGCGCAGATTTCTTGAATCCGCGCTGGACCCCCCTCCCTGGCGCGGCGCCAGACGCGCCGCCAGGGGGCTCCAGCGCCGATCCGAGACATCCGCGCGGACCCTCCCAAAGTGTTTGGCGTATATGGGACGCACAAAGACATACTAGTATATATATAATATATAATATTATGGTCGCCCCCCCCCCCCCCCCCCAGCACCCCCAAACCACCAAAACCACAAAATCTTCACTGATCGTTTCTCCTCGTCGCTCTCCTCCTCAAACCACAAAATCTTCACTGATCGTTTTCTCCTCGTCGCTCTCCTCCTCCTCCTCCTCCTCCTCCTCCTCCTCCTCCCCCTCCTTCTCCTCCCCCTCCTCCTCCTCCTCCTCCTCCTCCTCCTCCTCCTCCTTCTCCTTCCCTGCGTCTCCCAAGCCAAGAAAACCTAACATGCATTGTGTATGGCGCCGTCGGTGCAAGGAAATGCTGTGTATTTTTGTTGTTTTTTGTTGTTTTGGCCTGACAAGCAAGGAAACGCTGTGTATGTTTGGTTTTTGGGGTTTTTTTTGGTTTTGCAAGCCCGAATGCCCGCGCTGGCCTCCCTCTCAGCACCCTTCCATGCGCCTCAGACCAAGAAAACCAAAAAAAATACACAGTGTCTGGCGCCCTCGGTGCAAGGAAACGCTGTGTATGTTTGTTTTTTTTGGTTTGAGAATCAAGGAAACCTTGTGTAGTTTTGTTTTTTTTTGTTTTTGTTTTGCAAGCTCTAAGGGTGCTGGGAGGGAGGCTGGTGCCAGCGTCGGGGCTTCCATAACCAGAAAAAACCATAAAAAAAACAAAAAAAAAAAAAAAAAAAAAAAAAAAAAAAAAAAAAAAAAAAAATGCACAAAAAAAAAAAAAAAAAAAAAAAAAAAAAAAAAAAAAAAAAAAAAAAAAAAAAAAAAAAAAAAAAAAAAAAAAAAAAAAAAAAAACGTTTCCTTGCACCGAGGGCGCCAAACACTGTGTATGTTTGGTTTTTCTTGTTTTGTAACAAGGAAGAGGAAAGGAAAGGGGCTTGCAAACCACAAAATCTTCACTGATCGTTTCTCCTCGTCGCTCTCCTCCTCCTCCTCCTCCTCCTCCTCCTCCTCCTCCTCCTCCTCCTCCTCCCCCTCCTTCTCCTCCCCCTCCTCCTCCTCCTCCTCCTCCTCCTCCTCCTCCTCCTCCTTCTCCTTCCCTGCGTCTCCCAAGCCAAGGAAACCTAAAATGCATTGTGTATGGCGCCGTCGGTGCAAGGAAATGCTGTGTATTTTTGGTTTTTTTGTTTTTTTTGGTCTGAGAAGCAAGGAAACGCTGTGTATGTTTGTTTTGTTTGGTTTTTTTGGTTTTGCAAGCCCGAATGCCCGCGCTGGCCTCCCTCTCAGCACCCTTCCATGCGCCTCAGACCAAGAAAACCAAAAATACACAGTGGTTGGCGCCCTCGGTGCAAGGAAACGCTGTGTATGTTTGGTGTTTTTGGTTTTTTTGGTTTGAGAATCAAGAAAACCTTTGTCTATTTTTGGTTTTTGGGTTTTTTTTGGTTTTGCAAGCTCTAAGGGTGCTGGGAGGGAGGCTGGTGCGAGCGTCGGGGCTTCCAAAACCAAAAAAAAAAAAAAAAAAAAAATGCACCAGGTGTCCTTGATTCTCAAACCAAAAAAAACAAAAAAAACAACAAACATACACAGCGTTTCCTTGCACCGAGGGCGCCAAACACTGTGTGTGTATGGTTTTTCTTGTTTTGCAACAAGGAAGAGAAAAGGAAAGGGGCTTGCAAAACCAAAAAATATAGTTAAAAAACAAAAATACACAGCGTTTCCTTGCTTCTCAGACCATATATATATATATGGTCCAGGGTTTGGGCGCCCTCCCCCCCCCAATGCTGATGCCATTGCCCCCCCCCCCCGCGCGATGGTCCCCCCCGCCCCCCCCTGTGGGCGTGGCGTGGTGCTGCGCTGCGGTTCCCCCCCCCCCCTGTGGATGTGGTGTGGTGCTGTGGTGGTTCAGAGGTGGGCGTGGCGTGGTGTTGCACTGCGGTGCCCCCCTCCCCCCCCCCTGTGGATGTGGTGTGGTGCTGTGGTGGTTCAGAGGTCGTCGTCGTCGTCGTCGTCGTCGTCGTCGTCGTCGTCGTCGTCGTCGTCGTCGTCGTCGTCGTCGTCGTCGTCGTCGTCGTCTCGTCGTCCTCGTCGTCGTCGTCGTCGTCGTCGTCGTCGTCGTCGTCGTCATCGTCGTCGTCGCCGTCGTCATCGTCGTCATCGTCGTCGTCGCCGCCGCCGCCGCCGGCGTCGTCGCCGCCGCAGCCGTCGTCGTCGTCGTCGTCGTCGTCGTCGCCGTCGTCGTCGTCGTCGTCGTCGCCGCCGCCGCCGCCGCCGCCGCCGCCGCCGTCGTCGTCGTCGTCGTCGTCGTCGTCGTCGTCGTCGTCGTCGTCGTCGTCGTCGTCGTCGTCGTCGTCGTCTCTGGGACCATACCATCTGGGGGGGGGGAGCCCGAGGAATCCTGGGACCATACCATCTGGGGGGGGGGGGGCCCGTGGGCCCTCGACCCTGGACCATATATCCTCCTTGGAGGCGCGCGTCCCGAACATATGCTATACCCATCTTGCAGTATATTGTTTCCCGAACGGTGTGGCACGAAAGCGCCCGCCACGACGCATATACTGAGAGTTCTCGGTGCGCGCGTCGCCCCTGGAGGGGCGACGCAAATATAGTACAAGTATGTTGGGCTGACGCCGAGATCGGTTGACAACCAAGGGTCGAACCTACCGTAGGGTCCGTTGGTAAAGGATGAGGTGAAGGAGAGACAGCGTCCCTTTCCCCTCACGGCCCGACAGTCATCGGGCTCCATAGCCAATCCGATACCCGAGCACAAAGGATAGAAGGATAGACGGATAGATGGATAGAAGGGGGAGGGGAGCGGTCTTCACACACAGGACCTCCCAAGGTCTTTGTGCCTATGCCGTCGTCTGCTCCCCGATGCTGGGCCGAAGGCTGCGGTGCGGGGCTGCTCGCCGCGTCCGCCGGCGGCACGGCGACGGCAGCGCCGCGGCCGCGCGCGAAGCTCGGCGCGCCCGTCGGCGCGGCGTCGGCCGGAGCGGGCGCGCCTGCGTCGGGGCAGTGCGCGGAGAGGAAGCCGAAGCTGGGGGAACGAAGCATGGCGCAAAGATAAGAGCTCGGAGGTCCGCGCTGATTTCTCGGATCCGGTGCTGGGCCGGGGCGCGCTCGGGGGTCTCCAGCGCCGATCCGGGACATCCGCGCGGGCCTCCGAGCTTGTGTGTTTATGTCATTGTTCGTTCCCCTGGAGGTTGAGACCGCCCAGGCCGTCGACGTCTTCAAAACTCGCGCGGCTTCCAGGCTGGCACGTGCGGCCCTCCTTCGAGAAGGCCACCTGGGCAAGGGAGCGAAGCGGGCCTGGTGCGAGATGGCACAACGACGATGAGCGGTGGTTTACGCGGGCCGCCAGCGCGGCACCTACATTTGAGCATTGTTTAACCGATCCTTATTCCCACCAGCGTGCGCTGGGCCCCACTGGCCGATTTACCCCCCTGGATGGGGATATAGGCTGCTCTCATCGGGTTTCGAGGAGCATATCCCCAACTGAGGTGGTGAGACGGTGGGGCTCGAGATGTGGATGGGGGGGGGATAGGGATCGGTTAAACGATACTGAACATTGGAGACGACGGCGCTGACGCGCGACCTTACCCGGGCAGCTGACGCGCGAATGTCGGTACCGTCGGACCCGTTTTTCGGCGTCGCCCACCTGGTGGCAGCCTGGGTCCGCGGAGCAGAACTCGAGACAGGCCTCCCAGCTGAAGCCACCATACGCGCCAGAGCTCGCCGTCGCGGGCGCCAGTCTCCAGCCCTCGAAGACCAGGCAGGGCGTCGGGGGCGTGGCCGGCGCGGCCGTGCCGCTCGAGAGCGGCACGGCAGTCTGCCCTGCCGACGCAGGGCTGCCCTCCAGACGGGCGCCGGCCGCTGGTGTCGGAGCCTTCCAGGCCGAGTCTGGCCCCACCGCTGCCAGGACTGGTGGCGAAGACGGCAAGGATGTCGACGAGGATGCCGTCAACAGGGCCGCCGGCGCGGCCGCCAGCGGAACTGCGGGCGCAGCCTCGGGCACGGCCGGCTGCGGAAGTGCTGCCAGCAGGTCACCGCCAGCAGTCGGCTTCGGCTTCGGCGGTGACGGCAGCCAGGCCGTGACCACACCCGCCTGCGGCACCGCGGCTGGCAGGAGACCCTGCCTCGGCATGCCGTCGCGCACGACCGCCGACGGCACAGCTGGCGCTGCAGCGTGCGGCCCCTGCGGCCCCGCGGACTCCCAGAGGCTCGCCCCCAGGGCAGGCGGCTCCGCACCCCGCCGCGGCTCGCCCGCGCGTGGCTGGCGCCTCCCCGGGGCGGCATCGATGCTCTGAGGCTGAGCGCCGCCCCCGCCGGCTGGCCGCGGCAGCCTGGCCGCCACCACGCACAGCAGGGCTGCCAGCGCAAGCGCCGCGGCCAGCGCCCGCGCCCTCGGCCCCGCCCTCGGGCTCTCGGCGCTGCTCGGCTCTGCCAGCTCGCCGCAGCCAGCTCCGGTCAGCGGGACGGCGTCCATGGCCACGGGCACCGCGGGCCCGCCCATGGCCGCGGGCGCCGCGGGCTCTCTCGAGGCCCGCCCGCAGGGCAGCCCGCGGGCCCGCGAGCCGCAGCGGCAGCGGCAGCTGAGGGGGGGGGGGGGCGCCCCGCGAGCCGCGGCTCGAGCGGAAGCCTGTGTGTGGGCAAGGAGGTGGCTGCTCCGAGCTCCAGCCCGGGGGGGGGTGTCTGGAGTCTGGCCCGAGCTGCCGCGGGAGGGAGGGGTGACGGGACGCAGAAGGGCTCCGCCGCACCGCAGGCGTCTTCCGGAGAGGCGCGGCGCACGCCGGGCGCAGACGCGCGGCGCCACCACGCACGCGTGGCGCAGATCGCTCCCCGAGCGGCGCGGCCAGAGGGCGCCATGGATCGACAGGAGTTCAGAGAGAGTGTGCGCGCCTCGCCCACAGCGGGGCGAGGGCGCGCGCTCTGTGCAGGTATGCCTGGGTGATGCCGAGGTGACCGTGACAATTGCCGTCCGAGGAGGAGGAGGAGGAGGAGGAGGAGGAGGAGGAGGAGGAGGAGGAGGCGTGTCGGGCGAGGCGAGGCGAAGCCTGGCCTGCACAGGACCTGACGAGGAGCGTCCGCGGGTGTCCAATGACTGGCTCGGCCAAGGGCTGGCCCCTGGCGGCCGTCACCGACCGTTGCAATTCTCGCCGGGCTCTCCTGGGCAGTTCACTTCGCACCGTGAGCGTTTCTTTTTCGGCGTTTCGACATTGGGCGGAAGGGGAGGGGGGGAGGGGGGAGGGGTCTGGCTCCGGACCTCTGCTTAGTGCGACTGCTTGAGACAGTGCGTCCTATGGGGGAGACCCCACCTGCCCGAAACAGGCGCGAAAAACAACTAAAATCTACTCGAGGGGAGGGGGGGGATGCGAGGGCCGGTGCCGATCGGCAAAAGAATGAACAAGAAAACGACGACATCCTGCATGGATGTTGCCCGTCTGCATTACCCAAGGGTCCCCGCCCTCTCCAGAGATACCTGGCGCGCCTCCCCTCTCTGAGCTCTCCCCGAGATCACTGTTGCTCGAAGCTGCCCGGAAAGACACACGTGAGCACGCACGAAAGACCTATGCTGAGAGGTACGCGATGTGGTGTGCACGCGGAGATGGCCCTGGGAGGCAGCAGCCATCGATGGGCTACGAGGAGGCTCTAAAAAAACACCAGGATGAGCAATAAAATCGCATCGGGCGGCCGACGCGGCTAAATGCGCCGTGCACCTCAGGCCAATTGTAGAGCCTTTCGCTCCTCACATGTCTCAGATAATACATGCGTTGTCGGGAATCATCATCAGCGCACCATCTACCCCGAGTCAAGCAAAAGAACGCACTGCATCTTGAAAACACGGCCATCCTGGCGTGCGAGCGCTTGCTGCGCAGCCGCCACGGTCTTCTTCGCAGTCGCAGCGCCAGGGGACGTAGGCGCGGTCGTGGCTTATGCGGGCCGCGCGGTGGCCAACTGCACCAAAACAGATGACACGCGCTGCCGTCGCAGAAAAACACGCGCATCAGCACAGCTGTCCATCATCATGCAACCGGCCACGTGCGTTTGACAGCTGCTTCGGATAAATGCGCCACGCACCTCAGGCTAATTGTAGAGCCTTCCGCTCCTCACATGTCTCAGATAATACATGCGTTTTCCGGAATCATCATCAGCGCAACCTATAGCTCCTTCCGGGCGAATGCATGTACTGGTTTCGGAAAGCACGACCGTTCTGATGTGCGCGTCCTGGCTGCGCAGACGTCAGAGGCAAGCTGACAACGCTTGCAGCAACAAAGCCAATCGTCAGGCCACCGCTCACATGTGTTGGACAGCCGACGCGGCTAAATGCGCCGTGCACCTCAGGCTAATTGTAGAGCCTTTCGCTCCTCACATGTCTCAGATAATACATGCGTTGTCGGGAATCATCATCAGCGCAACATCTACCCCAAGTCGAGCAAGTGCACGCAATGCATCTTGAAAACACGGCCATCCTGGCGTGCGAGCGCTTGCTGCGCAGCCGCAACGGTCTTCTTCGTGGTCGCAGCGCCAGGGGGCGTAGGCGCGGTCGTGGCTTATGCGGGCCGCGCGGTGGCGAACTGCACCAAAACAAATGACACGCGCTGCCGTCACAGAAAAACACGCGCATCAGCACAGCCGCCCGTCATCACGCCACTGGCCACGTGTGTTGGACAGCTGCTTCGGACAAATGCGCCACGCACCTCAGGCTAATTGTAGAGTCTTCCGCTCCTCACATGTCTCAGACAATACATGCGTTTTCCGGAATCATCATCGGCGCAACCTATAGCTCCTTCCGGGCGAATGCATGTACTGGTTTCGGAAAGCACGACCGTTCTGATGTGCGCGTCCTGGCTGCGCAGACGTCAGAGGCAAGCTGACAACGCTTGCAGCAACAAAGCCAATCGTCAGGCCACCGCTCACATGTGTTGGACAGCCGACGCGGCTAAATGCGCTGTGCACCTCAGGCTAATTGTAGAGCCTTTCGCTCCTCACATGTCTCAGATAATACATGCGTTGTCGGGAATCATCATCAGCGCAACATCTACCCCAAGTCGAGCAAGTGCACGCACTGCATCTTGAAAACACGGCCATCCTGGCGTGCGAGCGCTTGCTGCGCAGCCGCCACGGTCTTCTTCGTGGTCGCAGCGCCAGGGGACGTAGGCGCGGTCGTGGCTTCTGCGGGCCGCGCGGTGGCGAACTGCACCAAAACAGATGACACGTGCTGCCGTCACAGAAAAACACGCGCATCAGCACAGCTGTCCATCATCATGCAACCGGCCACGTGCGTTTGACAGCTGCTTCGGATAAATGCGCCACGCACCTCAGGCTAATTGTAGAGCCTTCCGCTCCTCACATGTCTCAGATAATACATGCGTTTTCCGGAATCATCATCAGCGCAACCTATAGCTCCTTCCGGGCGAATGCATGTACTGGTTTCGGAAAGCACGACCGTTCTGATGTGCGCGTCCTGGCTGCGCAGACGTCAGAGGCAAGCTAACAACAAATGCAGCAACAAAGCCAGTCGTCAGGCCACCGCTCACATGTGTTGGACAGCCGACGCGGCTAAATGCGCCGTGCACCTCAGGCTAATTGTAGAGCCTTTCGCTCCTCACATGTCTCAGATAATACATGCGTTGTCGGGAATCATCATCAGCGCAACAACTACCCCAAGTCGAGCAAGTGCACGCACTGCATCTTGAAAACACGGCCATCCTGACGTGCGAGCGCTTGCTGCGCAGCCGCCACGGTCTTCTTCGTGGTCGCAGCGCCAGGGGACGTAGGCGCGGTCGTGGCTTATGCGGGCCGCGCGGTGGCGAACTGCACCAAAACAGGTGACACGTGCTGCCGTCACAGAAAAACACGCGCATCAGCACAGCTGTCCATCATCATGCAACCGGCCACGTGCGTTTGACAG